AAAGCTGATAAATCTAAAAATATCTGCAAAATTGATCCCTCTGAATACCACCATCTCATTCTAAATAAAATCTCTAGCTCCAATGAAAAAGACATGAACAGTAATTCCTTATCCTCTATAAATAGAGAAACTGCTAAATTTGACTATAAATATGATATTGCTGATAGGGTTGGAACAACTCGTATGAAAAATACCTACCTGCTTATTAAGGACCATAAATCCAATTTCCAAAATAATCTGCAGTCCCGCTTGATAAATCCATCCAAATCAAAGTTGGGTCTGATTTCCAAGATTATCCTTAATGAAATAACCACATCTATACCAGAGAAATACCCTGTAAATCTTTGGAAAGATTCCTTTGATACAATTAAATGGTTCCAGAATATAGACTTTATGCCAAAATCTTCATTTATTCAATAAATAAATTTGCGGACCTTGTCCATTTCTTAATATATATATATATATATATATATAAATCTGCTATTTGGGCTGAATTATATGATCCCGTGGGAACATCAAAATTTTCATTATTCTCTTTAACCTGTCTGGGGAGCCATTATAATTTTTTAGGCCATTATTAGTAATGTCAATATAATTTTTAAGCAAAATCAACCCATTAAAAATTTTGCTTAAAATTATATTGACATTACCAATAATGGCCAAAATTATAATGGCTTCCAGACAGTCTATTTAAAATTTAATGACTTTTAAAGAGAATAATAAAATTTTGATGTTCCTAATAGGATCTCATAATTTAGCCCAAATTAGAACCTGTTGTGTGTGTGTATATATATATATATATATATATATATATATATATATATATATATATATAAAGAAATATATATATAAATGGACAAGGTCCGACAATTTATTTATTAAAAGACATTTTATGTTTAACGTTGTTATTTATAGATACAAGTATTTAAGCAAATGCTCTGTTTATGGTAAACAGTATTAAATAACATTTACCGGCCTGAATTTCCGAGAAATTTTCATAGAAAATATTCGTTCTTTGACAGGATTCGAACCAGCATCCTATACGGAACCATCATTTACGCTGACGTGCCTTACCTCTGGGCCACAAAGAACCTTTCGGTAGACAGTCAAATTTACTGCTTATAAACTTCAAAGAACGAATATTTTCTATGACATTCAGGCCGGTAAATGTTATTTAATACTGTTTATCATAAACGGAGCATTTGCTTAAATACTTGTATCTATAAATAACGTTAAACATAAAAATGTCTTTAATATATATATATTATTTCTTCTTCTATTTCTGGCGTTTACACATCTACTTCCAGGGACCTAAGGTTAGGAATGACATCATGGCACTTTCCACTGACAGAAAAAAAAAAAAAAGAATTAAATTACATAGATAAAGTCCTTCGTAAGGTGTGGGCTGTACTTGTCAGAACAATTTTTTGTATCCCCTTGAGGCATGGACTTCTAGGGCTCCAACTACAACAAGGATTGTTGATGTTACCATATGCCACATTTTCGAGATTTCTATTTCAAGGTCCTTGTACTTTGACAACTCTTTGAATATCTTCAAAGATACATTGCAGTCAGTAGGGACTGCCATATCAATAAGGAGGCATCGTTTTTGTTTGTGGTCTTTAATAACAACATCTGGCCAGTTGGCCTTGATTGTTCTGTCAGTGTGTATTGTGTAGTCCCATAGGATTGTAACAGGTCTTATCTCTGTAACCGGGTCTGGGTGGTGTTCATATCAGTTTCTTTCAGCTTCCTTCCCGTAGAAGTTGCAGATATTGGCCCACTCTGTCATGTCGGGTTTTATACTCAGTGGGTGCCAACACCGTACAACCTGATACAAAATGATCAGTCGTTTCTGGATATTTATCACAGAATATGCATTTTGGGCTGACACAATATTTTAGTATATGTGCTTGATAATTCCTAGTTAGCAAGCATTGGTCCTCTTGCAGGATAAAACTTTCAGTTTTCGCTTTCAACCCTGCACTACGTAGCCACTGATGGGTACGGGGTTTTGTCTCGTCCAGCTTGTTTGGTACAGGCAGAGTATTGGCTATGAAACGGTTTATCTTGCCATAGATTCTGTAGCTGGTCGGTTGCATTAAATCTTTTTGCTGTCTTTTTAGGTATTTTGCAGTTTCAGCCGTGTATTGTGCTGTAGTTGCATCTCTCGCCCATTTGAAACTCCATTTTGAATTTGTTGGCTTCTTTCATTACGGAGTAAAGACGTTTACTACTTTCATGTTCCTTGACGATACCATCATCCAGTCTTCTGTACTTTCCAAATATCTATGGAGGCCAATTGTTATAGTTTTGTAGGACAGTTCTAGTTGAACTAATCCTCTGCCTCCTTCGGATCTGGGCACATACAGACGATCGACATCAGCTTTGGGATGATGCATGCGATAGCAAGTGAGAAGCTTTTCTCGTTTTGGCATCCATTCGCTTAATTTCAGCTATGGTCCAGTTAAGGACATTAAAGCTGTATTGCACCACAAGG